GACTTTGGATGCTCCTCCACAGAGTTGGTTTCCCAGAAAAGGTGATAAACATCATTCGATCTTTCCAAGATGGCATGCAAGCACGTGTTGTGGAAGGAGAGTGGGCTGGAATCTGCTCCCTTTGACGTAGATAATGGTGTCAAGCAAGGTTGTGTTTTTGCACCACTGCTGTTCAGCATTGTTATGGACGCTGTGATCTATGATGCCTTTCAAAATTGTGAGAAAGGCATAAATTTCAATGTGCGGCACGATGGAGGAATATTCAACCTTCGCCGAATTAAGGGAAAGACCAAAGTCCACCACATACTGGTCAGAGAGCTACTCTACGCTGACGACTGCGCTCTTATTGCTAACACTGAAGAAGATGTCCAAGTTCTTATTGACTGCCTTAGTGACGCCACAAAGAGATATGGCCTTTCATCTCCATAAAGAAAACTACAACCTAAGCCTGGTTGCTGCTACAAAGAGCCTGCAGTCACGTTCGGGTGTGACAATTTGCGGGCAGTCATTAAGCTCTGTTTCCTGGGAGGTGTTCTATCTAACGATTGCTCCATTGACCTTGAAATCGCAGCACGATTAGCGAAGGCAAGTTCAACATTTGGGCGCCTTGCTTCGAGGTTATGGGACACACATGACATCTCTCTAGTGACAAAGGTGTCTATCTATCAAGCAGCTGTTCTAAGTGTTTTACTCTAAGGTGCAGAAACCTGGACATTATATCGCCGACATATTAGACAGCTAGATGCCTTTTATATGCGCTGACTACGGAGAATTGAGTGCAATCTCCTGGCAAGACCGTATACCCAACACTGAAGTGCTATCTCACTGCCATATGCGCGGGATTGAGGCCTACATAATGGAAGCCCATCTTCGATGGACAGGGCATGTTGTTCATATGAGCGCAGAGAGACTACCACGAGCCCTTTTATACAGCGAGTTGTCTGATGGTGCTCGTAAAGTTGGTGCGCCTAAGAAGCGTTTTAAAGATCAATTGAAGATCACGCTTAACAAATGCGACATAACTGACTTCGAAGCTCTTGTAAGCGATAGAGCCCAGTGGAAGACAGCTGTTAAGTGCAGGGTTGCGAAGTTTGAGGATGCTCGAATCGAAGATGTGAGGGAACGTCGTCACTGCCGCAAAGAGCGTATACTAGCACATGGTTGCTATCCATGCCGCAAGTGTCCAAAAGTTTGCCACTCTTATATTGGACTAGTGAGTCATCTCAGAGCTCACGACCGCAAGGGAGAATAAGCAACCTTGTTGTATGCTTCAAACCCTGGATCTGTCGGTCGCGACAGCCAAACCGAACCAAAGGTGAACTCGCCTGACAAATGTCAATACGAAGACACGGGGATTGAACTAATTTAATATTTAACCGATGTGGAAGTGCATATCAGGGGATATTAACCCACGCTCATGTGACCAACTGTTAAACAAATTACTTTGAATTCCAGACCCTTATATAGAACACTGAAATAAATTTAACTTGCATGGGCTGGTTGGAACTTACGAGGCTTTGGTAACATTGTCCAATAATCTCAATTGGTGCTCCAATATTGTTTTGTGATAACTGCATGCTTTTAAGTCCTTTTCGCTTCTAGTAGGGGTTTAAATCCAGCAATCATATGACTGTGGGTCATCTGCGACCAGCTAACGCTTTTGCAAGTGGTTAGCACATTACCCAGTGGCCTCAACTTAGCCAGTAGATGTATAGTGGGACAGACTATAACTCCAGGAAACATACGCTCCCCAGTATTCTTTTTCAAGATCTCCCTGGAAACCACTTCTGAGAGCGGAGCCTCCTGGGCAAATATTGTTATTATCATTATTATTATTATTATTATTATAAAAATTATTATTATTGTTATTATGAATCATTATTGTTTTAACGTTTGTGAATAAATGAAATCATATATTTGAACTGCGGTTAAAGAAATTAGTATGAGAGCGATCATCGCAGTAATGATCCCTATTAAACGTTACGTTGACTCATCACTTCACGGGTTTACATAGATGTCGTGTGAGTTTTGTCGATTCAGACGAAGAAATCGCGACAACCATTTCGAAAAGATTGAAGTGATTTTGCTTGCCGCAATTGAGGGTACAAGCTGTTCCAGATAACTGCACCGTTATAGCTAAAGCTATTTTTCAGGAAGTTGGTGCGGGGCAATGGAACAACTAGTATGTTTTCAGAGTTCCTTAGATTATAAGGAGGATCATATTTAGTGAAAAGAGAACCAAGATAGTCGGGCGCAAGACCATCTATGGATTTATAGATCATGGTGGCCACTTTTATTTGTCGCTGAGTATCTAACAGTCTCCAGTTAAGTTGCTCAAAAAGAGGATCAGCGCTTGTGTCATAACTGGAGAAGGTCAGAATACGGGGAGCCCGGTTTTGCAACTTTTGGAGCTATTCGAAAGACCTTTGTTACAATACCCCCAGACCTCGCTGCAGTAATTAAAGGCTGATAGTTTCGAAAGAAACTGTTTGGGGCTGCGTCGATGGGAGTAACGAAATAATTTGGATATATCAACAAAGTTGAAATGGTAAATTGGCCACCGTAATGA